CTGAATAATGGCCCGTGTATCGAGGTGTATGCAATCTAGGCAGACTGGTCGTCGTAGGAGATGTTCAGCAAGGCGTGCTCAATCTTGATCCAGAGTAAGTGCACGTTGAACACACGTCTGCATACGCAAGCAAGGAAATCATCCGGAAAATTAGCATATATATATATATGGTTGCGAAAAACGCTACATGCATGTAGAGGTCAAGTTTTTGCAGATACGTATATATAGGCATAGTTAATATATATTGACTTCGATTTGTTCTCGTCGCAGTAAATATTTAAAATGCGACTAATAAGTTGCAAAAACACGGGAGATGTATGAGTGTCTAACACAACGGTCATTTTGGCGTGCTAGTGACCCCGTGGCTTTTCGAGAGTATACCGTTTCAAACAAGTTATCAGATATCAGCAAGGTGCCTCTGCGATCGTTTATTATCGGAGGTTGCATTATAAATACATGGACTGTGTCTTTCAGTTTTCTCATGTGTAAACCATTTGAGAAGGCAATGTCCTCTATTTTAGTGGCTTCCAGCCGGTTTGTTTCAACTTTACCCTTTGTTCCATCCATGTCGACGGTATACGATCTGGATTACGATGCAAACCTTCGTAGGGTCTTTCATAAGCAGGGTGAAGGGGTTATTTTTATGAACCACAACGTACATAATATGTGTATAATGAGACAGGTCTTGGTGGACGAATACATTGACTGATTATTTTTTGATATGTTTGGGCTTGGGCTCAGAAAATTTGCATGCGGGCTCACATAGAAGTTGAAATCATTTGTGTGGTCAGTGTTGTGCCATAAACACGGTTTGATGCAGTACATCCAAAGTTGGCTTTACTAGCATTCTAAAGTCGGGAAAATCATATATAAGATCGTTTGTTTATTGTAGTAGGTTTTGAGCCAAGAGTACCGCCTTCAAATATCTGTAACTTTGTCCTCTCAAACGACCAACTTGTTGGTGGTAGACGATCTTACGGGTTCGTGTGATGATTAAGAATGTAGGAATGGAGTGGAAGACTTCAGATTCAGACTGGCGTCCATGGTGTGCAATAATGATCAAATACGGCCAGATTTACTACTCATCTTCCCACCTGTAATAGTAATAGTGATAGATAGTACTTATGACTACCGTGTGAAACGGTTCACACACGTTGAGTTACGACTATCCATTATTCTATATGTTGAGTTTCGCGTACGTCGAAACTCTGTTCGCCACACGGTTGGCAAGCCGCTAAATCTCAAAATAAAATACTAAAAAGCTAGATGAATAGTTACAAATCACTGTTGTTGTTCAAGGTCATGAATCGCTTATGATACAATCAAAATACAATGACTCACCAAATACTTATAATAAGGTCTTTATAAAGGTGAGTAGGAAATATGTAATCAACTGACTCTTACTTACGAGGACCAGTAATCACTGGGCCAAAAGATAGACTATAGTCAGTACTATATATCAATACCATAGAGTAACTGTTCGACCATCATATATATCAGTAGTAAGATGTGGCTAGCAAAGCTTGTATTGGTTCTGTTTCAACGCGCGAACTTTGAAGGTTATAGCCTTTTAAACGTGGTTTTATTTGTTTTCCTATTAGTTCTTCCCTCTACTTAACAATATTTATTAGCAAAATTTTTTTTATTTCTGACAGGTCTTCTACTAATTGAAATTACACCCAGGCAATCAAAAAAACCTACAGTATCTCTTGATGCCTATAGCGTCTGCAAAAGATCTAAATTCACCACTAAAGCGAATAACATGAGGCATTATAGACACACTGAACAGTCTGTATCGTACTCTGGCCTTCCTACAGCTACGCTAGACGTGCAAAATGTACTTAAGTATGACACGTCACTATTTCGCATCTTGCTTGTACATATAAATTAGTGTAGCCACAAACATTTTGAATCGGCATCACTTGGTCGCATGTTGCGTTGGGGAGATATAGACTGGAATAAAGCATGTTCCGTGCACAACCATGTTGGTGCGCGCTGATCGGTTGTTTCGTATCTAATTAACGCAAGTCGATATTTGGAGAGGACTCTAGAATCCTTTCATGCAAAAACTGTGAATATATACAAACGTTTTTCTTATTGTGCTTCTTACTTCCACCTACCTCTGTTATTTGGGATATAATTTCTTGCTTGCTCAACCGTGTTTTGATTTGGGGACTTGCCAATAGGAATAGCTGGGTCGTAATAAGAGAAATCACAACATTTTGTATATAGTTTACTTACCCAGACATATGCTCCATCCTTCAAATAAGTATGCACAAGGCGACCAGCTGATAGACACTTGCAACAAGTCTGTATGAAACCATGTCGACCCTATCAATTTTGATATAAACCGCCAATGGTATTTCTAAGAGCAATCAAATGGAACTTAGCCTCACGCAAACTATTCAAAACTTACCACGGTAGAAATATCTAATAAGTGTTCCGGAAAATCCTGATCTCGAAATTACAAAAAACACTGAAAAAGTAATCGACCATATATCATCTGAAGTATTGAAAAGAATACAGTGTGAGCAGAATACCATTATGCGTGATATACCTGACAGTGCGAACCTAAAGTTTGTTAAAAATACTCCACCACAAGAGTGTGAATTGTCGCAAACTTGGTGTGTCACAAGTAGATTATGTAAATTACAGACTAAAGCTTCCTGTCCCATTCTCCTTCAGTTTGGTAGTATCACAGAAACTATTCACCTTGATAATCAGTCGTTACTGAGTAATTTTCCAACATTTAAAAAGATTAGAATCATCCATGATAGGACTTTTATTCGATGACGAATCTTCAGTTAACTGCAAACCAATGAACAAAACCCACGTACTAGAAACAAATACAACGTTGGTCACTGCACAAACCCTAAAACACCATTCCCTACCCCTTTCAAAAACGATGGCACGTTGCATGCTGCCACTCATCTTAAGAACAAGATTGCACATAAAGCAGCCTTATCCATTCATTCTAAGCCCAAACATTCAACTACTCTTCAATCTCAATCCATTTATGCCTCTATAATGCCCCAGCACTGCCTTAGCAGCTCCGATAGAAACCCCAAGAGCCGAAAAATGATCCTCCCAGCAATTGCTCCAAGGATTATAGTATTCCGGTCACCACAATACGAAATAATGCTAAACCCTTTGTGGAAACCCATAAGTACTCTAGTGCCCTTAACCCACAATATGCACCTGTCCACAGCAATAAAATGCTGTGCAACAAACATAATGGACTAACAGCGCCCATTCATCCCAACGTCAGACTACATTCGACTAAAACCACAGCCACACATGACACCAATAAGTCTTAGAGTGTGAAGCCTATAAGCTCTAGGAACCAGTACGCAATCATAGGTAACACAAACACCTCTCTTGACAACAATCTCAGGCAATTCCCCATTTCCAACCTGAAAGACATAACCTTCCCAATTAGCCATAACCAAACTAAAATTGCTCACCGCACACATAGGAGCCAAAACGTTGGCCTACTTCAGAACCCATATAGTGATTCTAGATACTATCAAAGTCAAGCCACCTTACAGAAATCTTTGATCCATCTAATTCGATGTATACACCACTTCATCCTTTTTATATCTCTCCCACTTGACAATGCTGCTATGGAGTCTCCAAATCTCGAAGGCGGTAATCCTACTATTTTGAGACCATCCTCTATTTGCTCCGACCTGATGGGGAGTGACACATCTTTCACTTCAGCGATGACTGTCCCTAGTCCTAAAAGCCCCTTAACTGAACCTCCTGACCACTTCCGAAATACACTACATATCCATCCAACCCACTCTACTTTATCCGTCATTCCTAAACATACTTCCTTCGTCAAACTACCCTCCGACCATCTTTCTCCCACTAACCATAATGATAATATGTCAAACGAACATGTATATGGAGCCGGTACTCCTAATTCTTTGTCTTCTCACAACAAAACAAATATCCACTACGTTTAAATCACATCCTTCTACCAGACAAATACTCACCGTAATTGATATTAATGTTAATCAATGCTCGACCTGTACAAGATAAGATGCCTCATCTACACATCCCACTACTTTTAAGTAATCCTTCACTCGTTTTAATAACGGAAAATTGATTGTCCTCCGATGTAACACGTTCATACCTCCATATAGTCACCTATGAGCTTTTCCGCTGTGATCGAGTCACTAAGAAGGATGGTAGTTGTCTTGTACATACATCTAGTACGTTCGGCTATTTTTCTATTCATTTAGTGGTCAAACGCTCCATATAAGAGGGTACTTTCTATAAGAATTTCCATTTTAACCACCACATTTCAGTACGTTTGTGTTTTTTATTTTCATTAGAAGCGGCTGCAGCGGCAAACAGTTCTGCAAACTGGACGTTTTTATACGTCTTTGAGATTAATGCTGGCCTGATTCGCTTTGTTAGACAAACCAAAATTGAAGGCTCTTGGTCATGCATCCGCACCCAATCACGAGTGAGCACACCGTGCTACTCATCTTTTGCACCAACTAGCCAGCTTAGACCAAACGCCTCTCGACATATCGATAGCTTTTCAAATACATCTTCGAGCCCCTTCGTTTCTGACTTCTGATTTGACTGAATAAATATCCTTTGTGACGTTTAAAGACTTTTTTGAACTAAATACCTGTGGCATTATTACGCTTATATATAAATTTAGATGTTTGGAATGAAATCACTTAAAAGAAAATTTCCAGCCCTCGATTTCGTTAGCATTGTAATTTTTAATTCCCATCATACTTGGCCTGTTCAGTAATTTTATAGTGTAATCTTCACTTTCACCGCCCAATAATTACTTATCATCATTTTCACAGATAATAAAAGACACATTTATATCCATTTTGAATTCCCAATATTATTTAAATGTAAATGCTTGCATTAATTAGCAGGCCATGGGTATTATTCTATTTCAATTTCTGAAGCGTTACGTATCAGGCTGATTACTATGTTTGAAAATTGACTCACCACCGTCTTATTGGTATAGACTTTCTACTCACTTTAAAACATCTATATTAGTCTACAGTCTTGATAAGAAGGAAAAATTTTGTTGCTCAACCTGTATTTTAGTGTGTAAACTACGCTTACCTAACAAACTAGTGGAAAAAGAACTGGGAGTACTGTATACGGCACACTCATTGATTAATTTTCTCTCCAACCACGTATATGAGTATTTGTAAAATTTACAGGTGTTGGATTTATCTCCAAGCTGGAAGCAATGAACGGTTTATGTTATTCACAATGACACTTGATATTTTCAAAATCAGACAAAACAATCAATAAAACCCACAAAGGTCGAAACCAGTGTTTTATTACGTAAATAGTAGAGGCGGTTGAGTCAAGTGTGTCAGTTTGACCTGTTCCGTGCTAATGTTTTATGGGAAGTAGTATTAGTTGTATCACAGAGATAGATATGGCTAATAAACTGTTACCTGCTGCTGTCATAGCTTCTCGCTCAAAACATTCTGCTACAGTAAGTTGTGTTGCCATATGTTGTTGACTCTTCATTATATATAACAAAATCATGTAATAAGATTCATTTTGCAGTTGATGAGAAACATCCACAGTCCACTCATATTTTAACGATTCTATTTCAAAGGCTAGGAAATTGTCTATATGACCTAGGTCGAACTTCCTCATTAGATTTTTGTATCAACCAGTGATTCGAGGATAGTAGTTTCTGTAACTTTTGTCTTTCCTCCTCAACCCGCATTTCAGTTACGAAATTTTGCAGTAAGCAGCCCTGCAGTGCACTCTTTGATCGAAATCCGGACATCTTGTAATTCAGTTTGATGGATTATTGAATCCACTCTTGAATCGCACTAACCTGGAACTCGCGTAAGGCAGTGCAGTTCCGCTAATAGGGGAACCAGTAAACTTAAACATTTCACTCCCAACTGTTACGTCAGCCCATATCATTTTATTACAACCTTTCACTTATAAGGTGGAAGATTGAGTAATGCAATAAAAGACGTGTTCAGAAGCTATTCAAGGTGTACAGAATAGTTTTTGAATGACGGGGACTCATAATCTAACTTGAAAGATTTTTGCTTCATGTACAACTTAGAAGGCTGTACGTACTTTAGTAGCTGACTACAGTGAGTTTCAAGGTTTCATCAAAAATATTGTGGAAACTAAAAAAACTTTTACTGTGTAAGCAGTAAATAGTAAAGCTTTCCGGGTACATTGAAAGAACGGTAGCAAAAAAATAACTGCACTGCGAAGTTTCTCGTCACATATGATCTCTTCCCTATTGTACTTTGCATCAAGTACCACTTATCATACTTATTGACTTATATATTTTTCAGTTGATTTTCTTACATGGATTGGGTGACACAGGGTAAGTTTCCCTAATTTAAAGGGTTAACTCGATAAGGCATGGTTGGTCGGACACTCTAAAGGAATATGTTCCGGACTACTTCAAGATTATATGCCCTCATGCGTAAGTTTATATTGCTTGATTTGTATATTTCGTATAGGAATTCAATACCAGTCACACTCAATGGAGGGATGTGCATGCCAGCATGGTTTGTTGTGGTTTGTTTTTCGATTATTTGATGACAAGGTATGACATATATGCTCTAAATGAAAACGCTAAACAAGATGAAGCAGGAATAAAGGAGGCATCGCTCGAATGTACATCCCATTTATTTTTGCTCTCATTATATTTTAAATAAAGTAGGAAAATTCGTTGATGCAGAAATAAAATCCGGAGTTCCCATCGAGAATATAGTTATCGGAGGTTTTTCACAAGGTGGTTCAGTGGCCCTCTATAATGCACTAACGAGCACTTTACGGTATGGTGGGGTTGTTGCTTTCAGTTGTTGGCTTCCACTCCATACAAAATTTATGTCCTCACCTACAGTATGTTTTTTTACAAATTATTATTGCTTAGCTCTTGACTATGCCCAAGGACGTCCCAGTTTTCCAGTGTCATGGATTGGAGGATTATACAATTCCTTTTGCCATGGGAAAGTTAACTCATGAGCTTCTAAAAACTTTCCAGTTATCCAAATGTGAACTCAACTGTTATCCTCAATTATCTCACTCGTCATGTGAAAAGGTAAACTGGTAGTAGTGATTATTTTTACCGAATTGCATTTCAGGAAATGGGAGATCTCCGAACATTCTTGTCAAGAAACATACCTGGTACACAATAAATTTGTGTGTGTTAGGTGTTACTAGTTCGTCGTTGCCTAAATGATATATATGTTTTTGAAGAATGAGTCCCAGTTCTGAATTTTCCTCCTTCACTTCCAATGTACTATTTCCTGGCACATGTTTGATATGTGTTTTATGACCCCATTACATGGGTTTTCCATACTCTTAATGTTTACAGCTCTGTTATAAAAATACCGTTACTAGGTATCATTTATGTATGTCTTACATACTTCCTTTAATTCACTAAAATATAACTTTTAATGCTAAGTTTTTAGTAGCTATTGCCAATTTTCGTGTCTACGAGTCCCATATTTTTCGATCATGACGATGTGTTGTTCTATAAGTTTGTAACAAATTCATACCTTGTGATCCAATTAGATTGTGTTGCATTTGTTAGTTGTGCATTTCTGAGCTGATCATGTTCGGAATGGAGTGTGTCCAACATTAGGGGGTTTCTATTTAAGTTCCTCTCATACTACGTATATCCGACGTGTCAAGATTTCATTTATCTTATTTGCAAGTCTGAACTCTCCACAGAGGTGTAAGGCAGAAGCCAGTTTTCAAACATTGAAACCGTAAACAATAACTCAGGTTTTACGTAAGCCAATCAAGAAGTTTTTATTGGATTTGCTAATATTTATGTAGTGGGTTTCTTATTGATACATACTGACCATCGACTGCCGTAAATTATCAACTATTTAGCAGCAGGTTAAACAACAGAAATTATCATCCTAGCTAGTTATTGGTAAAAATCTATGTACGTAAAAGTTTTCCGATATTACCCCTTTAAAGTTGCACTTAGTTTCCGAGCACTGATTTGTTAGTAAATAGTTATGAGGAATTTCCAATACAAGTTACTGATCAACGACGGATTTAATTACTAGATTTTAAGGAACTAGCGGAGCTAACACAAAAATTACCCATAAAAAGGTCGTGTGTGACCGACCTCAAGCAGTTATCCCTTGGGCACCGCGGTCACGCTCTCAGGTCACTAGTCAGTCAGTCAGTCAGCTACAACGTAGGACCAGGCACATATGTGCATCGGTCCAGGTTGCCATAACGCATCAGCACAACAAGATGAACACCGGATTCATAGCAGTGGTTATGTCAAAGGTGGTAATATATAAGAGAAAGATTGCATATAGAGATATAGTACAAGAAGAAAGAATTGGTTCGTAGAAAGAAAGATATGAAGCGATTTTAATCTCTTAGTTTAAGGGAAGACAGAGAGTGTATACACCGACGCCATTGTGATCGATTCTGAGCCATGTCACCAAGAGTCTCCAACCATTGGTTACGATAGTCACGCGGACCCCAACCAAGTAGTCTGCATCTACCAACATGGCTCAGACTAGAAGTTAGTGACTTCAAGCACTGATGCCACGTTTTGGTTTGGCCGCCCCTAACTTTCTTCCAACCATCTCCAATACCGGATAGCATTGCACGTCGTGGTAATCGGTGTTCAGGCATACGTAACACGTGGCCCAACCATCTCAGTCGATGAAGATTCATAACCTCATCAACTGATTTACCATCATTCCCTAATACCCTGCGTCTAACCTCACTATTACTTACCCGGTGATCCCAGCAGACGCCAGCAATATTTCTAAGGCATCTGTGGTCAAATACTAGTAGCTTACGAGTGTCTTCTACTCTTAATGGCCATGTTTCGCTGCCGTAAATTAAAACAGAACGGACTGCCGCGCAGTATACTCGTCCTTTTATTGATAGACGGATATCTCGCCTTCGCCACAGGTGACGTAAGTTGGCAAAAGCCAAACGAGCTTTTCGAATCCGTGCTGAGATTTCGTCCGATACCAACCCATTAGGGCTGATCAGACTTCCAAGATAAGTGAAGTTGTCAACGCGTTCGACTACTTCACTCCCTATCCTTAGTTCAGGTGTTGACGCAGACCAGTCCTGAAGCAACAACTTGCATTTAGAGGGAGAGAAGCGCATTCCAAACATTCTGGCATTGTTGCTTAGTGCTACCAGAAGACTCTGCATTTTGTCAGCGTCTTCACCAAACAGGACTATGTCATCTGCGTATTCTAAGTCGATAAGTGGACCTCCTGGATGGAGATCAATACCCGAGAATTCAGTCGACGAGAATGTTATTTCCATCAGTAGATCTATGATGAAGTTAAACAAAAATGGGGAAAGTGGACAGCCTTGACGGACACCACTTGAGGTTGCAAAAGTAGATGACAGTTCGCCATAAGCTCTGACTCGACTAGTAGTGTTCGAGTAAAGAGCCTTCACAAGGTTTATGTACTTCTGGGGTACGCCTTTCAATGACAGACACTGCCACAGAATCTCGCGGTCTACCGAGTCAAATGCTGCTTTTAAGTCAAGAAAGACCACCATTGTCGGACGCCGATAAGTATGCCTGTGTTCTAGAACCTGACGAATGGTGAATATGTGGTCGATGCAGCCACGACCAGGTCTAAAGCCAGCTTGGTTCTCTCGTGTTTGCAGTTCACGAGTCTTAGTTAGGCGTCTGATAATTATCGAGGCTAGTATTTTAGATATTATATTAGTTAAACTAATCCCTCTGTGGTTGTCACAGGATGATTTTGACCCTTTCTTATATATTGGGACGATAAGTGATTGTGACCAGTCAGATGGGATAACGTCTAACTCCCAGATCTTAGCTAAAATATTAGTCAACCTAATCGCTAAAATTGGACCACCATCCTTAAAGACCTCTGGAGCCAGTCCATCTGGACCAGCTGCCCTTCCTCGTTTCAGATTAACTATAGCCTTCTGAACTTCAGCAAGAGTTGGGGGACCTACTTCAATGTTCCATTCACGCTGTCTGGGAATGGAGGGTAGTTGTAGAGTAGCTGAAGGCCAGCTGAACTGTTCTCTGAAATGTTCCGCCCATCGTTCTAAACGTCTGGACTGGGAGCAGATGAGAGTATCGCCTTTTTCCGAAATAATCTCACTTACACTTGACTTATTAATTCCAGTTTCTTTTATTAGTCTGTAAAGCTGTCTTGTGTTCCCTATAGTCGCCGCCTTTTCCATCTCTTTTGCTTTCGTTGCCCACCACTGCTCACGGTCGTTCCTTAGACTTTTTCTTAACCTAGATCTGATTTGTTGTCGCTCTTCATCATGTTCAGAACCTGATGGGACGAGTTTGCGAGAATCCATCAGTGTGATAGACTTTGAAGAAATCCACTGGTTCTTTGTAACTCTGTGGTTTAAGTCGCTAATAGATGTCACTGCTGCTTCCACAGCTGCTTGTATGTCTTTCCAAGCAACATCTGGGTCAGCCTCGTCTTCAGAACTACCTAAGTGTGACCTCAGTTGTTCCTGGAACCTACTTTTGGTTTTCTCGTTACTCAACTCAGTTCTAATGGGTCTTTTTAATGTGGCTTTTTTGCGTCCAGTGAGGCGCAAGCAGATGCGTGCCCGTATTAGGGCATGGTCGGAGTCCAAGCAGGTACTCCAGAATGAGCGACAATCTTCTACCGACCCTCTCCAACGATGACTGATGGCAATATGGTCTATTTGAGTCCATCGTTGGTTTGGTGTAGGGGGTCGCCATGTTAGACGATGTCTCTCCTTATGCTTAAAATTTGTGTTTGCTAAAAATAAGCGATTGTCTGAGCACAGTTGCAGCAGACGGTCACCATTATCTGTTCGCTGTGCCGGAATGCTAAAATATCCACCTAAATGCCTTTCTGTTTGGTTTAAACTACCTATCTGAGCATTAAAGTTACCCCCTACGAGTACTATGTCTGAGCGTTTAGCTTTCTGAAGAAGTTCGGACAGCTTTCTGTAAAATTCATCTTTCACATCATCTGAGCTGCAGTCAGTGGGAGCGTAGGCAGAAACGACGAAAAGGCAACGACGTGTGTCCCTATCCTTCCGAGTTCTTACGGAGCCGTTTAGCCGAACAGCACATAGACGACTGTTGACGGGGATCCACTCTAGCAGTGCTTGTTCCGCCCTCATGCTTAGTGCTATGCCTACACCTGCCAGTCCACGAGAACTGGCCATCGGGTCACCAGATACACGTAGGGTGTATCTCGTTGGCTCTCCGTTTTGCCGAGGTGAGGTCAAGTGAATGACCACACTGGAATCCTGTATGCGTGTTTCGGAGACACAGCATACATCAATGGAAAGAGACTCTAGGGTTTTAGCCAAGGAAGCCTGCTGACCGATTTGACATAGGGTGCGTACGTTGAAGGCTCCAATGTGTAGTTTGGAGCGAGGTTTCAGTAGACCTGGGACAGGGTTTTGAGCACTAGAATCGTTGGCTATGGTGACACTTGAGGAGGAAGGCGAAGGAGGAAGTTTAGGGTTGAAAGTCGATGTAGGAGGAATAATAGGAATTGAAGAGGGAAGTTGAGGTATGAGGGCGGTTATCACTTCCCGGTTGCCCAAACCGTGGGAGGGCTCTTCTGGAGGTACCTGAAAAGGAAGTTGGATTAGAGGTGGTCCTAGTGACCCGACCGTTGTTGCTACCTTGACGTGGTGGTCGGGCTTGCCTATCGTGATGAAGCAACCGAGCTATACTGGCTGGAACAACCGTTCGTCAAGGTCCTACCATGCCAGACAGGTCGGTTGAAGAGCGGTAAGACTAAAAGCAACAAACCCAAGGTCCGAAGGCGAAGCCGTACTGCTGACTGTACAGAGGTGTGACAGCAGTAAGGTGTTTCCTTTAGACAACCAGCGTGACAGCGATGCTGCCTTCCCACAAGTAGGGGTGGGGTTAGGAAAGGTCGACCCTAAAAATGCACACCTCACCTTACCTCAAGGATTTCCGTCTCCGGCGGTAAGGCCCTTTGAAGAACGGAGCTAACACGTCACAAGCCTCTCACGAAAACGCCGTGCGCGACCGGCCTCAAGCAGTTGTCCCTTAGGCACTGCGGTCACGCTCTCAGGTCACTGAGACCGCCTCTAATCCAATTTCCTTTTCAGGTACCTCCAGAAGAACCCTCCCACGGTGTGGGCAACCGGGAAGTGATAACCGCCCTCATACTTCTAACAGCACTCAAGACTACTGTATTCATAATCAACCTTCCTCTTCAATTCCTATTATTCCTCCTACATCGACTTTCAACCCGAAACTTCCTCCTTCGCCTTCCTCCTCAAGTGTCACCATAGCCAACGATTCTAGTGTTCAAAACCCTGTCCCAGGTCTACTGAAACCTCGCTCCAAACTACACATTGGAGCCTTCAACGTACGTACCCTATGTCAAGTCGGTCAGCAGCTTCCTTGGCTAGAACCCTAGAATCTCGTACCATTGATGTATGCTGTGTCTCCGAAACACACATACAGAATCCCATTGTGGTCATTCACTTGACCTCACCTCGGCAAAACGGAGAGCCAACGAGATACACCCTACGTGTATCTGGTGACCCGATGGCCAGTTCTCGTGGAC